TTATTCAAGATATGTATATTTCTTTATCATCAGGGGGTTGACCTTGGAAGCATATGGCTGCATAGAAAGAACCCATAAATGGATACGACAAGGAGAGAGGCGTTTTCGTGAGATTTAGCAAAATCATTTTTTCCCCCGACACCCCAGAAAGGTTCATTTTAATGCTATTGTTTTCCTTATCACCCATAAACAGACAGAAAATTAGCATGTTTTGAAAGAGTGTTAAAACTGCAAGAGTGTTGCATTACATTGCCACCCATTATCTAACTGGGTTTATTTATGAAGGTTAGATTTAGATAATTTAAACTTACCCTTTTATCATTTTGTGAGGAAAGAGAATCAAACTTGAAGAGCTCTTCTAAACAGAAAGATAGCTAGAATCTCCCTCCATAGTCTCTATAATCTCTTCTAATAATCTTTAGCAAAAGTGACTCTTGAGTTCTTTTAAATATTTCCTGTATTGGTTCTAATTCAATGTTCATTTCATATGATGTCTATAGAACTAGAGACTTAGATTACAGTCAGAAAACTGAGTAACAGCAGACACCAGGTTTTCAACTGTTTTTAAGGTTTGCTCAAATTGATTGCATCACATTCATTTGGATGGATTTAGTGACATCAGCTGATAATTTAAAGAAACTAGCCTTTAGTCTGACAGTTTCATATTGATATTAGATAGGAGCCACATGACTATTTCATGGATTCATTCATAAGATATAATAAGCATTATTTTCACTTGTAGCATAAAAGCAGTCTTTATTATTTTCTTAGAAGCATAAACACATACACACACACATATAGTCATATATAGATTTAAAAAATTCTATTGGCATAGGTTCTGTAATTGTTAATAAATGTAATTGTATAAAGTTGCTATTCATTGTTCCTCATTTCCAGATGAAGCCTGTTACCTTTTTTATATATAATAGGAATTTTTATATATAATAGGGATCCACAGGTTGTTAAAAACAAAGAAACTAAGATAATTTGAATTCAGATTATAAAACAGTTCAAGTCTATGCTGATGAAGCGACTTAGGTCTGAGGCTTTTGGGTCAGCTTTTAAAAGTTTATCTTATTTTTCATTAAAATATGTATGTATAATATTCTATCATGCAAAGAGAAATGGTCAACAGAATTTCTATGCATATATGGTTGCTGATTATTTGAAAGCCATTCTTCTCCTAGGATTATTTGGCCAATTTTGTATTCAGCCTAGATTAGGGAGAATATAGTGTCTCCTTACGTAAAATATTTACTAGAACCAGAAAGTCCAGATTAAATTGTTTTTATTTTTATTTTACTGCAGTTTTGTGCAGTTGACCTGATTTTAAAGTATAAAACTAGAAAGGCATATTTCCCATCCACCAAAATGTGAATCTTACTTTCATTTTGAAACAACTCCTCTGCTTTAAGAAGATGAACAGCGGTGATAAATACAAAAACATTAAAAATTTTTTTTTTTTTTTTGGGATGGAGTTTCGCTCTTGTTACCCAGGCTGGAGTGCAATGGCGCGATCTCGGCTCACCGCAGCCTCCGCCTCCTGGGTTTAGGCAATTCTCCTGCCTCAGCCTCCTGAGTAGCTGGGACCACAGGCACGCGCCACCATGCCCAGCTAATTTTTTGTAGTTTTAGTAGAGACGGGGTTTCACTGTGTTGACCAGGATGGTCTCGATCCCTTGACCTCGTGATCCACCCGCCTCGGCCTCCCAAAGTGCTGGGATTACAGGCTTGAGCCACCGCACCCGGCAAAAAAATTAAAAATTTTTAAATGAATAGTGTTTTGTTGCTCTTTAAGAGAAAATTTAAATGTGAAATATCTTTAGAGCTTAAAAGGTTTCTTCCTCAAACTTTTTAGGAATTGATTTTACCCAAAACAGTTTATTCATACTCAGTGTGAGTATCTGAATAATTGCCTTACTTTTATAAGTTTTTTTTTTTTTAAAGGCTCTTCCAACTGCAGTTATCCTCAAAGAATTAAGAAATTTAATCAATTTTCTGTCATTAGTCCCACAAGATATTTACTCAATAGCCATTGTGTTCCTGGCTGTTATCACAACAGGGAATCCAGCAATGAGCAAAACAATCTCTCTTCCAGAGCCCACATTCTAGAGTCAGATGCTAAACAAATACACAGATAAATATGTAGTAAAATACGGGTTTCAGTGTTGAGAAGCAAAATCAGAGTAAGAGGGCAGAGTCATTTTAAATCTAACTTCAACTAGTGAATTTAGCATTTATAAATGGAGGTGTCTATAGAGGAATAAAATCTTTGGTTAGCCACTACTTTACTTTTAACAGTAAAGTCTGCAGCTCATGAAATTTGTAATTCTGGAGTGGTTTCAGTTTGCACCATCCCCTGGGGAGCCTGTTGATACAGCACTGAGCTACAGATTATTATTCAGCTGTAGAAGTTTTATACTTAGGCATTTTCTTACATCTTCCTCTCTCAAGTCAGTTGAAATCTTGTATTTTTGCCAAATTAAACAAATCCCATAAGAAGCTATAAATAAACAGTAGGAGCATGAGTCAGAGCCAGCATCACCCTTATTCCTTGTGTGTACCTCTCTAGTACCCCCCAGTATGTTCATTTTGCACAAACGTGTAGTACTGCATAACTACTGTTCTACAGATGAACTCCAGTTATTTAAGTGAGGCCTATTTTTTAGAACTAAGTAATACTGTAACTAGTAGAATTCTGGCATGTTACCAGAGTCAAAAGCAGAATGTGAAACTGTATGCTATTGACGGGAGGAAAAAAGAAATATATGTCCTACCTTTCCTGTATAAAGCCCTAAAGAGTTCAACCCAGAAGACTGCTGTTAGATTTCCAAAATGGGTTTTTACATGATGTAATATAATTCAACATTTTTTTCAGAGGAAAAAATAAACAGATAAGTTGCTTCAAAGTCCCATCTCTTGCTAGTCAGCTTCTGATAAAATTTTATTCTATTTTGCTTCATTGTTTATTCATTCAGTAAATGTTCAGTGAACACTTACTATTGTCAGGCACTGTGCTACCCCATAGGCTATATAAAGACAAATAAGCTAAAATCCTTGTTCTCAAGGAATTTATTAATGTGGAGAAAAGTGACTTGTAAATCCAAAATTTCATATTGGTACAGGAACTATAAAAGAGACATCCTGCAGAATACTGAGATTACAAATAAAACAACTATGTTTGAAGCATTTACTGTCCTAGCTGTTTTACAGAAGTTATTTCATTTAATCCTTTCAACAGCTTCATGAGGTAGATAATATTACACTGTTTTACTTGTGCCAAGAGCACTACATTCATCAAGAAAGGAGGAGGTAGTATCAAATTTTTCAGAAAACAATTGAGTTGATTATAGAAGGATGAGTAGGGTAGTGAATATGTAAGCACATAGGGTGAGTGAGAGAATTGTTGCAATGTAGTCAGTTCTGGGAAATAAAATATGGCAGGATCCAGATCATGAAGGAATTTGTGGGCCATGCTTAAGGAGTTTGGTTCTTAACCTGTAGAAGACAGAAGTATGATCAGACTTTCATTTCAGGAAGATAACTCTGTAGTTTTTTGCACAAGGCATTTAGAGGCATATTTTTCCTTTTAAAGGAAGACATTTTCTCCAGCATTGACTTATGTTTATTAAATAGATCTAAAAACTAAATTTTAGAAATATCTTATATAGTTATGTGTCACTTAACAATGGGGATACACTCTAGGAAATGCATTGTTAGGCAATTTCTTCATTGTTGTTAGAGTACACTTACACAAATCTAGATGTATATCTTTATTTATGTTTTTTTTCATATGGAAAAACACATTTCTTAGCCACATTACTGAATATCAGTCATTTCCTCTGCTTGATCTGCAATGCCAACGTTAAGTGCCATGTATCAGATTTCTGTATATATGTTCCATTATAATCTTATGGGATCACTGTAGTACATGCATTGTTGACAGATACATCATTATGTGGTGGATAAGTGTACATACAGTTTTACAACTACAAAATGAAGCACAGAGAGGTTACATAACTTAGCTAGTGTCACACAGCTAATAAGCAGCAAAGTCAGGATTCGACATGTTAGGCTAACTTCATAGACTTAACCATAGTCCTGTATTGCCACGCCTCATTTATTTATTTATTTATTTATATTAAATAAATAAATAAATATACATATATATATATATATATATATATATATATTACTGCATTTTAGGTTTAGGGGTACATGTGAAGAACATGCAGTATTGTTGCATGGGTACATACGCGGCAATGTGGTTTGCTGCCTTCCTCCCTATCACCTATATCTGGCACTTTTCCCCATGTTATCCCTCCCCAACTCCCCACCCCCCACTGTCCCTCCCCTAGTTCCCCCTGACAGACATCAGTGTGTGATGTTCCCCTCCCTGTGTCCATGTGTTCTCATTGTTCAACACCCGCCTGTGAGTGAGAACATGTGGTGTTTGATTTTCTGTTCTTGTGTCAGTTTGCTGAGAATGATGGTTTCCAGGTTAATCCATGTCCCTACAAAGGACACAAACTCATCGTTTTTTATGGCTGCATAGTATTCCATGGTGTATATGTGCCACATTTTCCTCTTCCTTTAAAGTCATGCATGCACAAATTAGATTTGGAGACAGTTCTGGAGACACTGAATTGGCAACTACAGTCGACAGACCTTGCTGCGCAGCAAGTACCTCTACACTGTTTCTGTACACTTAGTTTGCAGCAGTCTAGGAGAAAGAATGAAGGAAGAGGAGTAATATTTGTCAACCTTAACTACACTGTAAAATGAAGCATTTTTTTTTTTTTTGAGAGGGAGTCTCACTCTGTCACCCATGCTGGAGTGCAGTGGTCCAGTATCAGCTCACTACAACCTTCACCTCCTGGGTTCAAGTGATTATCCTGTCTCAGCCTCCCCAGTGGCTGGAATTATAGGCAAGCGCATAACACCCACCTAATTTTTGTGTTTTTCTTAGTAGAGATGGGGTTTCGCCCTGTCGGCCAGGCTGGTCTCGAACTCCTGACCTCAACTGATCCACCTGCCTCGGCCTCCCAAAGTGCTGGGATTATAGGCTTGAGCCACCGTGCTCGGCCTGAAGCATTTTATGATGCCCACTACAGGGTGTTCATAAGTGGTAAATAAGGTCATTGGTCTAGATAACTTAAGATCCACTGCAACCTGGAGATGAAGAACTTTATAAAGAACTTTGTAAAGGGGATAATTATTACCACCCATCAGAGTTTAGATTTAGTCCCACTGATTATATTTCTCCTTTTATAGACAGAGAAATCAGTGAAAAATAAATATATATTTGGAGGATTAAATCCCAATCTATATCTCGAGGCTACATTTATGTCTAATAGTTGTGATATAACATGTTGCCTAGAATAGTTCTATAAATGGAATTCACACATAGGACCACAGAATCGCTTCTTCACAGGGTTTCAGAGTTGGAGGACATATAAAAGGACAAATCAAGCCATAAATCTGTAAGTAATCCTAAAAGAAGAGTGGTGTGTCAGTTATTGGCACCAGTACATGATGAATCCTGCTGGGTTGTGGAAAAAGGAGAAACTGACCTGAACAAAACCATACTCTACACAGCTGTCCCTGACATTCCACCACCTGTTAGCTTTCAGTATTAATTTCATGGATCAAATCAAGGCATGCAAGTGCATTAAATAATTTTTTAAAAAAACAACTGCTGATTGCTGAGGGTCTATGAGGGAAGAAAAATTAGGAGCTGTTATTTTCCTATCAACCATTACCCGCATTAACAAGAACAGGAAATGTGAATAAATAAAACTCTTACATCATACCAGAAATAAGAACAGCTGAATCCCCTAAAGGATTTTTATATTCTATCATCAGACAACTAAAGAAAATAATTCCATATAAATGGCTGCATTAATCATTGGAAGAAACTTTCCTGCTTTTTTAAAAGAGCAACTAGAAATACTTTTTGAAAATAGAGTAACCATTTGTTAAACCATATATACCATTGAGGATATTTTGGGCATAAAAGGGAATTTCCACAATAATTCTATAGTAATCTTTTATAGCCAAAGTTATGAAGAAGATCAGGATTTGGGAAAATTGCGGTCAAGATTTGATTTTCCTTTTCTGTTTGATAGCCTTATCTAAATTCTCCTAGCTTGAATGTAGTAAATATGAGTGTGTAAAAACGTATGTATATCTAATTCATCTCTTGGGGGAGGTTTAATGTAACTATAAATAAAAATTCTTTCCCCAAGTAAAAAAAATGTTACATAGTGGTTAATTCTACCTTTTCTCATTTCTCTACGTCCAAAACTATCACCAAGTACTGTTAATTTTACTTTATAAAGCTCTCTCGATCGGTCTCTTCAGTTTCATCACCACTGCTTTAAATGAGGCATACTTTCTCGTTTGGATTATGGCAGCAGTCTAGCAGTCTCTCTTCCTTTAGTCTCTTCTTCAAATCCACGTCTGCCACCTCCGCCCTTCATATCATCCATCATGTATTTTTCCCTGCCTAAATTCTTTGGTTGGCGTCTATTAAATCCAAGTTCCTTAAGCATGGCATACAGGGGCCAGCTTCTATGAGCTGTTCCTTACTTCTCCTGTCTCATTTCCTGACACTTTCCCTTATACCTTGAGATGCAGCTTACCAGTACCTCTACTGTATATACAACCACATACATATACACCCTGATCCCCTCCTTCATGTACAGCCATATATAATTCTCTCCACCACATCCTTTATCACATTCCTACAAGCCTTGAAGCAATCTGAGCACAGAAACCATCTTTAGTTTTCAACTCGTAATTGGGGCTGAACATACTTGTCTTGAACACAAATTGCTGCTTTGTTAGTATAGGTATCCTAATGTGGCACATGTATATAGTTAAAGCTATAATGCATTCCCCAAGTTCCCCTTCAGGACTAAAGGGTTATTTCCCAACATCTGGAAGTCTTGCTGCCAGAAAGCCTTCTTCAGGAATTGCCTTGTCTCAACTCAAGACAACCCTAAAGGACATTTCCCAGTTTCCTGTGGGGTCCACTGAGGCCTTGACATTGTACCGAAGTACAGGTGTTTATCACAAGAACAATCTCTGATAAAATTCCTGTAAACACACTCTTAGAGTCAGCTTGCTGGGGAACCCAAGCTATAATATGTTTGTCTTGTTGACACTTTCTTCTGAGTTCTAAATCATGGGAAGTTATGGTTACCCAAAATCTTACTAATTGAAGATCATTTAATCAGACTTGTATTCAGCGTCTGCTCCATGCCAGGCATTGTGCCAGATACAATGGAAACGGATCAAGACTTGGCCCCTGACCTGGAGTTTACAGTCTGAGGTGACAGTTACACATGAAACTAACTGTACTAGAGCATCTTGAGAATCTTTTTGACTTAAACATCAATAATTTTACTATAAAAGTCAAAAGCAGGGACTTTGTGGTGTTAAAAAAACAAAAGGAAAATATTTCAGGGGAAGGAAGATGAATATAAATAAGTAGAATGAAATTTTAGAAGAGCACAGAATTTGTCTTTGTAATTCTGAAAGCCTTTAGGGAAAAGATAATTTCTACTTTTCATTTTGAAATAATTTCAAACTTACAGAAAAGTCACAAGAATACTGAACTTACATATACCTTTTATTGCAAATTCATCAGTTTTTAACATTTTCCCTCATTCTTTTTCTTTACACACATACAATTTGTTTTTGTGAACCATCTGAAAATAGGTTAAATACTACATTATATCACTTTATTCCTTAATAATGTACTTCCTAAAAACAAGGGTATTCATCTCTGTAACCACAATGTAGTTATCAAAGTCAGGAAATTTGGCTTTAATCTAGAGTCCAGATTCAAATTCTGTTCACCGTCCCAAAAAAGCTGAGTTTAGGAAGAGTCATGTAACTTAACATTTGTAATGTAAATTAAAAGTCGTATGAAGTAAGCCATAGAAGATCTCGGAAGTTTGCTAACATTATTTAAATACCACAGTGAAATGAACCACTGCTGATTTTCTACGGAGAAAGCAAGGATTAGGCTCATGTTACCTGTAAAGGTCTGACTTATGGCTCCCCAAAAGGGAACCTTACTCTGGAGAGCCCATTTGGTGAGGTTCTTTTCACAAGGGATTGTATATTTTTGACCCAGGGATTGTCGATTTGTTGAGCTCCCATGAAGTGTGCCGCCTTGTCATTAACACGTCTTCACAATGCTTATCTCAAACGACATTCTTTGGAACTGCCTTTCATAGTGAGGCACCCCGCCAGCCAGGCCGGTAGGTAGGTAGAATGGCGGCTTCGGGAACTAGATCCTGCTGGTCTCCCCTAACACGTGGTCCTTGATGCTCTAGCGGACTGGGCCGTGAACCTCAGCACACAGCGCTTTGCCAGGGCCGGGGACGCACGCCAGCCTGCCGGAGGTGTCTGGAGGACTTGGGCGGGGGCGCGGCTTCTGCTGCACCACTTCCTCTCCAGCCTCGCGGGCTTCTAGGACCCTATGACATAATTTCCGGAGTGGTCTGTTGGGAGTTGTGGCGGCGGCGAGGCCCAAGCACAGCCGGCCAAGGGGGAGAAAAACCCATGTCGTGTCCACCCCAAAGCTCGGCGCCTCTAGAAGCCATGGCTTTTCCGCTGAAGCTAGAGCCAGACATGCAGAGAAAAGTAGATTTGTTTCGGGCCCGTATCGCCCAGGAAGCCGAGGATCTCGTGTCCACCTTCTTTCCTCAGAAGCTCTCAGAGTTGGATAGCCAAGTTCAGGAGCTCCGGCTGCAAGACCTGCCCAGAATCCATTCAGTGCCAACCCCGGAGCCCCTGGACACCCCAGTCACCGTGGGGGATGGGCCCAACCGGGATCTGCCGCCTCTGCAGACCCAGTTCTCCATCAAGGTCCCGGCACTGCCTGGCAGCGAGGGACAGCTTCTGCGGAGCAACCAGCATCTGGTGGAGCTGATTGAGCGGGTAAAACCTGAGATCGAGCTGCTGAGAGAGAAATGCAACACAGTGCGGATGTGGGTGCAGCTGCTCATCCCGAAGGTGGAGGACGGCAACAACTTCGGGGTGTCTATCCAGGAAGACACTGTGGACCAGCTGTGGACCGTGGAGAGCACAGCGACCTCCTACCTACGCGGCTTCTCCACCTACTACAACACCCGGGCCAAGTTGGTATCCAAAATAGTGAAGTACCCGCAAGTGGAAGATTATCGCCGCACTGTAGCAGAGGTGGATGAAAACGAGTATCTGAGTGTGCGCCAGATCCTGCTGCACCTACGAAACGAGTATGCCACCTTGCATGATGTAATCCTTAAAAACTTCGAGAAGATCAAGACCCCTCGGAGCACCAACACTGATAACCTATACTGATAGCCTTTCTTTACCCCACTTGCCTTCAGGAGTTGGCTGAGCTGTTTAGGCAGCTAGAAAGCTGATTATTAATGACTGCACAGGTGGTGAAATGACTGGAAACGTGCGTTATTACTTAGAATTTCATACAGCTTACCCTCATACTGAATGATCTTTTGGTGTAATTTTCATTTGATTTTCCATTTGTGGGGAGAATGGGGACAAACCATCAAGGAGAAAGGACTGCCATTTTTAAAAGCAGCTTTGTAGATGAATGTTGGCCAAGGTTTCTTTATTATGGTGTTGGTGACATTTAATGGTTTCAGGGTTTACTTAAAAAACTAAAGCTTAAAAGAAATTTAAATGAAGCTTTTCCTAAAGTTCTGCTGTCTGTTAAACTTTGTTCAAACTTCAGAATGCTCCTTTTACACCATCATTTTTCTTTTTTGCAAGGAAGGGAGTTTAAAGGGATATGTTTAGGTCAGTGTATGCCTCCAGTTTAGCAGATTGAAATAAAACTGGTTATAAAATTTTATGATGGCCTAAGTGTGCTTATCTGAACTTTAATTTGCGGATGTAGACAATTCAGATGATAATTTCCTACCTCAGATGGACTGATACACTTGATACTTTTCAACTCTGATATGCAAGAAAAATGAGCAAAGAGTAATAGATTTTCTTTCTTCTAAACAATGGATACCCACTTCCCTTAGAATGAAAAGGAATCGATGGAAAATGACTTCCTTCTGTAACTTTCTACCATCTCAGCATCTTCATTTCCTTTTACACAATTTAGAATTTCTTCTGTGTATCCATCTGTCTCTTCAAGTCTCTGCTAAATCCATCAAGCTTTGAATCCCATAATACTTTCCCCCAGTTGATTTTCATTTTTGTTTCTTTTTGTCTTTTAAGATATTTGTTATAGTCCCTCATTAGCATTTATCTCTCATGTTATATAGGTCATTCTTTAAAGGCTCTAAAATGTGGCTTTGCGTTTTCGTACCTCGTTGAGGGGAAGCCATTGTCTTCTCAACAGTGAACTATATGGTTGGTATTTTTAAAGTTCAGCATTTCCAGATTTCGTTTTCAGGTAAGGTAAATTACTGTGCTATGAGTCTATTCTAGCCTATATAGATTAGAAAAATCATGCACTGGATTAGCAGAAACTTTATTTTCAAAGTAAACCCTGAAAAATCATAACAAGTGAAATTGTTCTTTTGTTGAACTTCTGAAAAGCCCGAGTCTTTCAAATCGGTGCTTAAAAAGTAACAACAGCAAAAGGTATTGCCTAACAGACATCTTACATCCTCCCCCTTCAAGTAAAGAGTTGTTTTTATTTTCCCTTTAAGGTATTCTGATTCAGAAAAGTGCCAGGAACCCTAAATCAGTTCATACGATTTGACAGACTTAATTGCACACAAATATGTAATGGACAATGTAAGGAAAGAACAAATGTTGCTTAATTTTTCAACTAATGTTAATCATCTAAGATTTAATGTATCTTCCATATGTTATATAATCACTTTTGCTTGTTTCTTGTACTCAAACTGTCAAGCCTTATGCCAGGTTGAAATAGATTTTCTCCAATCCCAGACATTCCTTTTACTAAGAAAATACTCATGTCCTTTGTAGTTAAAGATTTCTGCTATATGCATTTTTTTACCTTTTTCCATCTCTATATCGAATTAAGTTGGCTCTGGAATACTTTATAAAGTCCCTACTCTGCAAAAATTAATCCCTTTGTGATTTTCCCCTTTCTTGCAAATGGTTAGAAAAACTTATAATAATAGACTTAGGAACTGGTGTTAAAATAATCGTATCCAGTATGAATCATTTGCCTATTATTAGTACTAGAGACTTAAAGCCACCCTTTTGTTCCTTTTAAGGTGACAGATGAACTGCATGGGTGTGTTTTGAAGAAATGGTTTTAAAAACTTATTTTGGAATTAAGTAATTTTAGTTTTAAATTCTAAAACTAAAACATGAAAGCCACTAACTGAAATTTGGTTGGAAATTGAAATTTGTAGATCTATTTTTTAAAACCGAGTGAAAAATGTCTTTCTTAAACCATATTAATGATGGAGACAAGTCTTAATTTTAAAGTTCTTAAACTTCAGACTTCTTAAACATTTGGGCCTAGAGTTTTTTTGTTTTGTTTTGTTTTGTTTAATGTTGAGAAGGAGTCTCATTCTGTCACCCAGGCTGGAGTACAGTGGCGCCATCTTGGCTCACTGCAACCTCTGCATCCCGGCTTCAGTGATTCTCCTGCCTCAGCCTTCCAAGCAGCTGGGAGTACAGGCGCATGCCACCATGGCTGGCTAATTTTTTGTATTTTTAGTAGAGATGGGATTTCACTGTGTTAGGTTGGTCTCAATCTCCTGACCTCATGATTCACCTGCCTCAGCCTCCCAAAGTGCTAGGATTACAGACATTAACTATGGTTTGGAGTTCCTAAATATTACTGAGTTATTTAAAAATTCTTCTTTGGTTATTAGAGGCAACATTTATTTTATAGTCTTTATATAGAATTACCAAATGGTCTCACCATTAATAGATAACCATGTGGTCAATTTAAGTGCTTTTTAATTTCAGGCCAAGGTAGGCAGATCTCTTGAGGTCAGGAGTTCAAGACCAGCCTGGCCAGTGTGGTGAAACCCTGTCTCTACCAAAAATTACAAAAGTTAGCTGGGCGTGGTAATGTGTGCCTGTAGTCCCAGCTACTCGGGAGGCTGAGGTGGGAGAATTGCTTGAATCTGGGAGTTGGAACTAAGATTTCTCAGGTAACTAAGATGATCCTTGGAGTTGAGCCAAAATCTGCCACTGTGGTATATTTTGGAGATGTGAGTTTCCATTAGATATAGATTTTTTAGACTCCTAGTAAACTTTTTATTGATTTGTCATCTGGTTCATAATGTATAATTCAGTAAAAGCCATTCAGAGAGAGGCTAAACATTGTGAGCCAAACCTTCTCACAGTGCAACTTGGTCTTGGAACTTAGAATGCTTACAGGAATGGGTGGCTAGAATACCCCTTATGCATGCCTTCTAAATATCATATCCAGGCTTTTGCTGAGAGACTAATACTAATATTCTGTATTACCAAGTCAGGGGTACTCCATATGCTTTATAAACCAAATAGAGGGTAGATCTGACATCTTATGAATATTGAGACATTTACTCAGTGTTTTTATCTGGATGAAAGAATAACGTATCTCTTGTGCCTTGAGAGAACCTATAGGCAGTTAGGCTTTTCCTCAAGGAGCAACATTTGAACACTCAATTAAATCCCCATGATTTCATTGAATTCCCATAATATGGTTTTGTAGTACTCATTGTATTCTGTTTTTTGTGCTTTTTTTTTGAGATGGAGTCTCACTCTGTCACCCAGGCTGGAGTGTAGTGGTGCAATCTTGGCTTACTGCAGCCTCCACCTTCCAGTTTCAAGAGATTCTCCTGCCTCAGCCTCCCAAGTAGCTGAGATTACAAGCTTGTGCCATCATGCCCAGCTGATTTTCATATTTTTAGTAGAGACGGGGGTTTCACCACATTGGCCAGGCTGGTCTTGACGTCTTGACCTCAGGCGATCCTCCCACCTTGGCCTCCCAAAGTGTTGGGATTACAGAGGAGCTACCATGCCCGGCCTGTATTCTGTATTTTTATGTATATCCTCCTCACTAAATAAGTTTCTTGAGAATAATGAAGGGTTTTTTATTGACCCTTTTATCCATTATGGTGTTTTGCATATGGTAAAATTCTAAAGTATGAGCCAAACCAAACCTGGATCAAACTAAAGAAAATCGTTTCTCCCCTTTCTTATTAGAGGAGGCATTTTGTTACAACAGAGGATATATGTAGGTAAGTGTACCCAGGAATATGTAAGAATGTTGAGACATCTGAAAATCTGATTCAGAATTAAACCAAGGCAAATGAAGTTTCTACACTGTTTTCTGGCTTCTAATTAAGCATTTTTTTTCATATCACAATAATATAAATATTTTAAAGTACTCCAGGCAGTTCTCCTTCAGTATTCCCAGTGATGTCATTAAGCCTATTCACCCTGCAACAGCTGCAAGTTATTCCAAACATCTGTACTGAATCCTTACACTATACAAGACCATTTGAAATCAACTTTCTCACCCCATTAACAGCTTCAGTAATTCTCTGTTACTTTTCTAACCAAGGGTTAGGGAGAAATAAATCTAGTGTATCAGAATGAAAAATCCTGAAAACTGCTTTTCAAAACTAATTCTCTGTGGTCACGAACATAATGTTTAATTTACTCTTCCAGATTTCTGTACTTAAAAAGTTAGTTTCTTAAATACGTAGAAGTTAGATCACTTGATAAATCCTTAAAAAGAATTTCCCTTAAGTTTATTAAGTCTTATTTGGTAGTAAATATAAAATACAAAACATTCCAGGTAAAAGTTATTTCATACATTTTAAACAGTTTATTTAGAGTAAGCGTAGTCAGCTCAAAACTCCACTGCCTTATTCCTCTGGGTCTTGCATATTGGTGGAAATTTTTCTCTGTTCTTTTGTTTTGTTTTGTTTTTTTACATTTTATGTTGTGGGATAAGCATGGAATTATTGAACCTATGACCTATATATTCCACAGCTTACTTCAATCCTTCTATTAGGCACCCATCCAGAGTAGAAGAAACTTCTCAGATCACAGAAGACCCTCAAAAAAAGTCATTGTGTTTAGCTTCATTTCAGTATTACATTGATGGGAAAAAAAATGAGTTCCCAGCTGGGGCCACTATCTGTGTGGAGTTTTCATGTTTTCCGCATGCATCTGCATGGGTTTTCTCCAGTTTCTTCCCACATCCTTATAACCTTTGCTTCACAAACATTTATTTACTTGGCCCACCATCACTATGACTGCCATCACTTACTGATTCACCAAAAATTGCATAGATTATTTTACTTGTTTTTATTAGTCTTTATTAAATGCATGTATAGTTCACATTTATATCAATATTTAATATTAGAAGTGCTTGGGGTCTTTATTTAGAAGTTTGGTGATGTTTTTGTAGCCAGAAATATGCTGTAGGAACATAACTCTTGTTTATATCAATTAGGCTATGGTAAAACTGGTTTCCTTTATGTCATTTCACTTAAAATATTTATGGACAACATGAGGAATAGTATTTAACTTTTGCTTATAAATAATTAACAGATGACATGAAAAGAGACCTCTTAGGAAGCCATTTTTATGAGCCTGTTGAGCTGGGGGTTAACATTTTCAATAAGAAGCCAGTAAGTCAAATGAAATCTTTTGCATTTAAATGCCACATCATTATGTTATATTACTAGAAGTCTAAAGACCAGTGTGGTAGGAAGAATAAAATGTTACTTATGAATATAATTTCTGCTTATACTTTTAGAAAGAAGATTAAAAGTATTGACAACAAATGAAGTCAGAATACCTTGATTAAAGTAGTTTATTAAAAGTATCTTCTTAATGTGCTAATTATTTGCTTTGCATACGTACACATAGTGACGTACATTTATGCATTAGCTGAGACATGTTCATTCT